TTCGGAGAAGGATCACTTGAATTGTAGTGAGTCCGTTTCTTCTAAGTCTATTATTACTGTTCTTCATTCTTGTCCTGCTCCTCTTTTGGACGTTTCTCATGATGGTTTCTTTTTCTTTAGACGTTTGTTTGTCATTTTTGATGATGAGACAGCTGATCGTCTTCGCCTCTATTCAGATGCTTTCTCGAATCAGCTCTTTTTACGTCATATTTTATCCCTGGCGCATGCTTCGATGAAGATTGCCAATCTTTTATCATGTGAGCCACATGATATTCTCAACTATATAGAGTTGTTACTTTCTGAAAAGAACAAAATTACCGTTCTCGACTCTGGGATGCATGAGGTTTCTAATTTACGACGAAGTTCTGATGAGCTTCGTCGGGCGATTCGTAATGCAGTGATGCTCTTTGATTCTCATCATGATTTAGATTCCGATGAAGACTTGTTGGTTAGTCTCGAGAATGTTTCCACTACTACTGCTGATGACCTTAAGCTTATGACCACGAAGCTTGATATTCTTGAAAATCAAACGCGCCGGTTGAAATTAGATTGTGAAGCGCTTCGTAAGGGCTCCTTCCACGCGTTGCATGCTCTCAAAAACTTGTGGAAGAGCAATGAAACGTCTGAATGGGTATTAGGCGAGGCTGAGAGCTGCTCTTCTGATATGCTTGGACGGCAACTTGAGCTGGCGGTAGAAGAATTCATGATAACGCATCGTGACATCCTGAGGGTTGTTGAGGAAACCTATCATAATTTATCGGAAGTACTCTATTTAACGGAGGACTTCGGCTGCCTCGCAAAAGTCCTCCCTCCTGCCGGGGAAGAATTCGTCAAAGGACGCCTTCAGCTCCTCCCGCGGCTCTCCGAGCACGCGAAGGAGGCGGTTTCCTCCTGCCGGCATCGCATCGCTCAGCTGGCAAAGACGCATGAGGCCGCGGCTGTGGATGCGGATGTGCTCATCGAGGCGGTTTGCCTCGCGAATCGTCGCCTGGATGGGGATTGGCGAGGGGTCTCCCCTCCCAACACGGAGGCCCTGCCGGAGGAAACGGGGGAGGCGACGGGGGTGAAATTCTCCGCCGCGGAGCTCGCGGAGCTGCTGGAGCAGCGCAGCCAACGCGCCGCCCGGACGCTGCGGGCGTGGCAGCGCGGCATCGTCGAGGTGAACGCGCGGCTTTCGGAGGTGGTGGAGGGGGCCGCGGCGGGAGGGGAGGACGGCCCTGGGGGCTCCCCGTTGACGGCGCGGCTGACGGGGTTGTCGAACGCGGCCCTCTCCGAGTTGATCGCCCATCGCGCGCAGCTCGAGGCCGCCCGGCGTCAGCTCCAAACGAAGGAGGAGGGGTGGGGTGGGCGGTCGGAGGGGTGGGCGAGCGAGCGGGCGATGCTTTTGGAGCAGCAACAACGCGATCGGGCGCGTTACGAGGAGGCGAGGAGTGCGTTGCGCACCGGGCAACAGGAGTGGGCTGCCCAAAAAACCACCCTGTATGCTTTGTTGAATGTTTGGAAAGATTTTGGTACCGATATGATGTTAACGACGTGGTTTCCTCAGGCGACGACGGAGCACCCCATTGTGGGGACCCTCAACCCTGATGAGTTGCGGGTTCACCTGAAGGATCTTCATGATCACTGCGCGCGTATCCTCGAGAGCGGCTTCCACGCGCAGAAACGAGAAAAGCAATACACCTCCGCCCTGATGGAAAAGGAGGAGGCATTGGATGCCGCCGAACGATCCTCCGCCGCGAACCAGAAGAAAGCTCAGGAGCTAAGGCAACAACTCGAGCAGGCGGAGCAAACCATCAGCGAGCTGCGCGAGGAGCTTGAAAAGACAAGCGCGGATCACGCGAATCGGTTGTGGAACGTGAAACTCGCGGCCCGGGGGGAACACTTTGCCTCCGTGAACACTCTCGTGGAAGGGTTGCATCTGGAGCTGGAGGAGATGAGTGCGCGGTATGTGCTTGCGTTTTCGTGGATGCGATCGTATCCGGCCTCGGGGTTTGCCGAAGTCGTGCACGATGCGGCCGAGATCGCTTCTTGTCTGCCCGCCATCCCGCTGGCGTCGATTCCCGCCGCGATTAAACGACTTTTCGAAGGGAAGGAGCAGCTCCAGGCGCTTCTCGGGCGCGACGGGCGACGGGCCGGTCCGACTCGCGCGGAATGCCTCCACGCCCTCGAGGAGCTCGCCATGTTGCTAAACGCTTCCGATGCGTTGATGCCCCCCTACACGTTAACGGATGACGGTTTTATCGAGGCGATTCTCTCCGAATCGCGGAAGCTGGTGCGACAAGTGGAGACGCTTGAGAATCAAACTCGACAAAACGCCGTGCTTGTGAGCCGACTTCAGCACGACGAGCAGCGGGTTCGAGAGGTGATGGAGGGCCTCGCGCGGACCGCCAGGGGGTGCGCGCGATGGCTTGGGAAACCCCTTCGCCCCGACGCGGGGGATTCGGCGCGGGAAACCGACGTCGTCGCCTTCGTGGAGGCCGTGG